ATTCATATGAGCAAATAAAATGGGCTGTGAAGACGTACATTTTAACAGAAGTATTTCTGATACGAGTTGCACCCTTGTGTCGATAAGAGTACTTTGATCATTCTATTGACATTAATAATATCTGATAGGGGTTTTAGCCTTTAGTCTCGCGTACGCATTAGTATCCAGGATTAACAGCAGCTTTCTACGGAGTAGCTGATAAGAGAGATTTGAAAGGATTACCTCGAACATAAAGTGAATACATAACGAATTCTCGGAATAAGGGGATTTTTGTTATTGGAAGGAAAAGCAGCGACGCGCTTCAATGATTATTAAGATGAATAAAATATACTGGCCAAGGTTATTCATTCAAATGGACAGCAAGAGGTGGACGACAAAACTATCAAATTTTTCCTTCGTCGAAAATGAACCTTGAAAAAATGACAGCATCCTTTGTGTTAGAAATTATATTGTTCTGCGTGTTTATGCAGGTGGAAACATATTTTTCTTAAAATATGGATTTACTAACTGTAACTTTAGTAATTAAAATACGTCGTTTAAAAAACTTTCTTCTGTACGTAGGTGATTATACAAGAAAGTATACTTACATGAGTTCAGCAATTATAAAGTTCCAGTAACCCTTAAAAAATTATATGAACTGTTCAGAAAATTATTTTTCAATTCTGGATACAAGTTTTTCTCGTTAACAAACATTAATCAAAATTATCTTCTTCGTACCTAGATATATTCATTTAATTTAGGATTAAGAGTTAAAATAAATACAACACTCTAAAAGCATTGGTTTTCTAAAGCAGTGGCAAGTGAAATATTTTTTCTGATTTAAGGTACAAGTAACATCCTCACTTTTTTAATATAAGAAATGGAAATCTATGAAAAAACGATCTTTCGTATAAAACGACCTCGATACTTTTCCCTACCCCTTCTCCTCTGTGAATTTCTAATGACCTCGGCCTCTTTCTACCCCTTTATATGCAATTCCTTCAATCCAACGTATTTCCTAGGCTACACACGTGGATTAAAATGGGTCACTTTCTATAGAGTGCTTCCACGTTACAACCCCGAATGCCTCCTTCAAGTTTCACGTCGTGGGAACTTTCTTTCTCATCAACTTTTTTTTTTCAATTCATCCTCCGAGAATATTTGAAACGTTAATTAAGAACTCTGTTAATTAGACAATGTTGAATTATAGTTCCAATGAAAATCTTCTAAGGAAATGGAGCGTCTAATAAATGTAGTATAATATTTTCTAATAATGTTTCTAATTTGCTAAAAATATGAAATTTCATTTTTCATTAGCAAATAATACATTTAGTATTTCGTGTTATTCTACATAATGTTGTTGTCACTGTTTCATATCATTGTTTTATATATCGTTCATTTCAGCAAGAATTAATACATTACATACATGTACAAGTGCAATTTTTATAATGTTCAACAGATAATCATAATAATTATTCGTAGATTTTCTACATCTATATCTTTTTCTATCTCTATAGCTTTGTAAAGATATAAACTATGGATCATATATCAAATAAAAAGGAAACCGCGTTTTTTATGCGACAACCCAATATATTTGCAAGTTGACTTAAGTAGAACGATGTATGAATACCCAGAAAGTGGAATAAACGACTTTCACGCGTCCAAAAAGACAAACATAAAACGAGCCAACCAAAGCGACAGTATCCCAATACCGAGTGTCATACGATCACTTCCGTCGCGAAAGTAACAAGAGCGCGGTTGCGCAACATCCCGCGCATTTCGAGCAAGTATTTGACTCTCGATTTTAAGAGACATCAGAGTCATTAACTGCAACAGACATGCTCTATACACGCACAATTACGACGTCGTATAGTAGTCCAGATTATGAGGTTAGAAAGAAAAAATTCGAAAATAAATAAAGATTGAATAGAACAAAAGTCAAACCAATAGAACTATAATAATTTTATGGTAAGAGTATATTTAAAAAATTTCCATTTTCCGAATATACTTGTACATGTGATATAGTATCACCTTTATCATTGTTGATCAACCTTTTAAAATCCTATAATACAGCAGATTCAATATTGAACTTCATTTCAATGATTTTTACTATAATCATTTATAACACTTCCTAAATATTCCTCAATAGATGATCACAACGATCACATACTGAATTATACAACTTTCAATCCAAAACACAAAAACGTTTCCCACCGCAAAGGGTTAATACAGAAGTCATTAAGCGTTTAACACGTGGAATCACCATAGTTCACTTAATTAAACGACAATTATTCAAAAACATTTCTGTATTATAAACAATGCTATCCAATGTGGTGACATTCAGCTAGATGGACGTAGAATAATAATACTACAATTCAATCGAATGATTTAACATTACATTCTTTCCATTTTGTGCGTTTTGCTCTATGAAATCGTGCGGCCTTCAACGTGTTAAATAGTATACGAAATATTTACTCATACTTATATTCTTTTATCTCCAATTTTCCACTTGTTTCTCGCTAATTATACATAACCCAGACTACTTACTGTGCCTCGTAACAAGCGTGTACAGCGTGCAACTGTTGATTCCACTCCGTAAAACTTTTCTTCTACCCGGCATCGAATCTGTCGATTCTAAGCTGGTAATTGACGAGAGTCTAGAGAAAAGGGACGAAACGACCGACGACATAGTAAATTCACCTTGTTACGCACGAATAGCCCGTAACTTCATCGTCGCTGATTCTTGAGCGCCGGTATCGGGCCGGGTATCTGTGTAACACGGTAACCAGATATCGCGGAGAATTAATTACATACGCTTTCGAACGGTATCTCCGGTAATACGGACGACTTTAATTAGGGATCCGGCTCACGCCGGTTCTTTTCGACGGTAAATCACCTGGCTTCTAGTCTTACACGTGTAAAGAGAATTTCGCAATAATATAGAACTATAAGTGGACGAGCAGCGTTTTACAGAGTCAAGCAAAATGTAATCTGAGTAGCAGAATGCGGATTTTACGTGTTCGTCGTAAACATGAAACGGAGAAGTGTTTACATAAATTTCAGATTGTTATTACTCTGTTTTCAGTTTATTAACACACTGCGGTATCAGCAATGTATTTTAGCGAAATAACTACTTTTCTGACTTTGCTAACTATCATGGCATTGGCAAAAATATTAAATCTTATTAGAACTGATTACATGTTGAACCTGTTAACTGCGGAATTCAGGTTGAAAAATCTCTCGCTTTGCGCGTAGTAAAATTAAAGAATGAAGTGTGTATTCGTGAAACGCAGGTCGAAAGCACGTAGGCTATGTTTTAATGAAAAACCAAAGCAAAACGAAGAAGAATTTCATGTTTATCTGAAAAAATAAACAATTCATCGTTGAAAGAATTAGTATCATTTCAAGCTTTAAGATGACGTGTATATTCGTCAAACGCAGTTGATTGATCAATGCTTATGAAACAACAATAAGATATTTGAATATTTTATAGTGATATATCACGAACTTGTACGTTTATATTATTGAAAAAACGGCCAGTTTTCTAAAAATTAGCCGGTACACAATGTGTTAAGATTTTTAGAAGAAATTTGCTTCTGCTTAGTATCTACTTGTGACTTCAGACAGCTTTCACAAATTTTTATTTTATTTTCAATATGTTGTCTACTGATTACTGGTGATGATTCAAATGTAATAGTTTATTCTACTACGAATTATCTTTGATAATTTCTAATGATTGATGATGTTCAATTGAAATTGAGATGGTTATGATGAGTCTTTAATAATTATTATGTTGTTATGAAGTGTCAGATGTGTTTCAGTTCATATAAAAAATTCAATAATTTATACGTAATTAATACAAATGTCTAATACAAATAGCATCTTAAAATCAAATCAAAAGTTGAATTGTAATCGTTCGTCTTAATAAGTAATTGAATTACATTTGGCTTAATTCTGGTGTCTTACTGTTGAACCTATTGTCCGAGAGCTAGAGTATCCCCTTGCAATTTAGCCTGTGTACTGTGATTCCTCCCGTTTCACTCGTCCCATAGCGTTCACGAAGCTCCGGTAAATAAATATTCGCAGCGATCTGAATCTCGGATTCTATATCGAATTTCAAGCAGTGCGCGCTCGTTAATTTAATACCACCGCGAAGTTCAGGTATTCCGAGTACTGACACATTCAAGGGGGGGTGCGCACCTATGCAGATAGGCTAAAAAATTCGATTTCATTGAAATATATTCACGTGGACTAAACTCTGCACGATACACATTTTCAATTTTTCGATGTCCATTTTTCTCGTGGCCACAGTCGCTAAGCTCATCCTACCGTTGATTGTTTATAAGAAAACAAAGAAATTCTATTTTTTGAACTGAAATATTAACGATGCCAAGATTAATATTACACTCCAACTAAAAACAAACATGGAGAATATTTAATAATAACATTAAATTGATATTATACAACCAATCCTCTATTCACTTCCTCGATACTTTTACACATACTAAATTATTTATTTGAAAATAAAATTATAAGATTCTATAAAGAGTTTCCTCTAAATATTGAATTTCTTATTTCTAATACGGACATATTAAAAATTCTTTAAAATTCTCCAATGTACGCCAGCAAACACTTTCCATGTCTAAGAGTGCTTAGACCGCAAAGGGTTAAAACTGGAACGATTGATCAAACGAAGACCAGGCTGATCACAAACGCATAACAACCAGAGACGATCTCAAGACCGCCACACCCTATTAAATTTCTCGATAATAAATCGCGGGTAGTCGTAAAGTCGTCGACCCGAGGCCGAAGGGAATAACCACCCTTTACCTTACCCAGGAATCCCGAGCTATACCGCGGCGCATCGCCGACACAGCACAAAAGGCGGCAGCGATGCGGCAGAATTTAAACACTGCAAGTCACTTCAGGTGATCCTCAATTGGTCGATACGGGTGCCCTTATTACGCCGGCTGTCCTTAATTCAGAGTTACGGCACTGCGGCGTGCATCTACCTGTAAGGAAGAGCCGTTCCAACCGCCGGCGCGATAGAGGGTCCTTCGATTATCCGGGCCAGAGGAGCTGAAAGAGCAAAGGTTGTTCTCTACGGTACCTACGCGGCAGAATGTCGCCCGCGATATTGGCGAACCAATTGACGCATGCGTCCCGCCCCTACGAGGAACCGCCGCAATTTTGGAATCTTGTCAACAAACGCTACCCTACGTCCTTAACCCGTTAGCTGCGCGCGAGACCTCTCTCCCACCGGCAGCCGCACTCGATCTTTTTTCCTGACCGACGCCGGAAGCGGTACGACGCGTCGCCTGCCGCAAACTTTGAATATTCGCTAGTGGAAACCTTGCAGTGAAAGTAACAGCCTTGAACGATAGATCGTTAGATCGTTTCAGTGACTATGCCAGTGTGTTCGTCGATCGATGTTCGGGGATAATTGATGTAACAGTGATTCCTCGTTTCATTCTGGACGCTTGATGAGGACTAGAAGCTAGACAGTTTAGAAGCTGAACACGTGTAACGCTATGGACGAAGAGGCAGAATCGCCAGCTGAACAAGCTATCGCTGCGACGCTGTCTGAAAGGTATGAAGGGAGTTTCTTAGGGGATGCGGCGGGGTGGATAATTGTTATGTTGTCTGTGATTAGCATTGGCTTTCGACGCATCGATATTGTTCTTGATCAGCCTCAACAGGTGTACTACAGTGGCCAACAGATTTCTGGACATGTTCATTTGGACGTTAGTGAACCGGTGAACGTTTTAGGTAAGTTTGTTGAGAACTCGGGGAAGCTAGGTGGAATGGGATGTTGGGAAGAATAATGTCGATTTTATATAGTGTTATTCGTATATTCAGTTGGTTGCAGGGAGTGTTGTTTGAATAAAGAAATTAGTGGCTCGGGTGTTAGAATATTTTTGTTATTTTATTGTAATGACAGTAGACGAAAGTTTAATAATCTACTAGTAGGGAGTTCGTAGTTATTATTTAGGAATTAGTAAGAAATACTTTTATCCTAGTGTAATAAAACATCGACATTAACTCTCCCCTACAACTAACAGTTGAAGATTTATCGAAAGTTTTATTTAAATTATTTATGGACGTGAATACTTTGAAGTATACTTTCTAAAATATTAACTTATTTTTTTACTGTAAATGAAAAGTGGAGAATAGATTCAAAAGTGTACTCTCATACATCAAAAAGGTATTGAAAGAAATTATATCTTAGGAAATTTAAAAAAATGTTAGAAGTAAGTAAAAGTAACTTGTAGTAATTTTGCATAAATTCCATGGACTTCTTCAATCATCCTCATTTCTTTCAGTTACGTGACCAACGTTATCGTGGATTATTTCTGCAGCAAGATGTTGCAAAATGACCCAGATATTTTTATAATAAAGTATATATAGCTTTACTTTCAAAGAGCATACAACCCTTTAAAAACAAACCGTTGTCGTTACTTCTCAATCATTTGAATGGGTTTCATTCTTATAATACCGTTTAACCCATTTCTCGCTGCCAAGGAAATTTCAAATCAGCACCGACAAAAAGAAAATTTGGAGATATGAGTTTACTAATTACATGCAAAATTATACTTGAAAATGTTTATTCTGCTAATGTCAACACAAAATTTTCTCGTCAACGATGACAAAAATGGGTCGAACGATCTGATAAAAATGAAGCTCATTCAAATGATCGAGAAACAACGACAGCAAACAAATCGCTGCAGATGTGCGAAGGCGGTTTGTAATTAATACGTGACCGTGGATCCAGCAGACAGATAAATTTGCCAGAGGTCGGAATAACTAGTTTTAAGTTTCGTCAGTGGAACCACTGCACAATGGGAAGATACCGATGTTTCCATGGTCAAAAATCAAGTTTTAGGAATTGTTAAAAAAACGAAATAAATAGTTTAATTAAAAACAAAATATCTACTAATAGTAAATATAATAAGTTTCTTAAGAAATAATAAATAAATATATAAATACGTCAATATCAGTCATAACAAGCGTTGAAAGTAAACCATGTATCTATAGTAATGATGTTTGAATAACTAATAATAGCAATAATCCTTAATTATTGTTACCTAACTCAAACTCTATACGAGGTAATTATCATTTTGTTCCAGAGTGGTAAAAGAACATTTGATTATTATTAAAAAATCTTTGCCTTCATTTATCCAAACGTTATTTGACTTACGAGTTTTGACCAGTAAAGCCAAGATCTTGCCAACTGTGCGCCGATACTGCGATCCCGATACATCGAAATCGTGAACGATGGATCGTGCCTGGTCGCGACGAGGCATCGAGCAACTTTATATTTATTCTCGTGATGTTTACCCCCTGCTCGCTCGCAATCACAAAAATTTCTTCGGCCGTGTACTCTCCGCTCGGAGTCGAACGCGTGCCAAACGTGCCATCGATCGGGTTGCATAACGGGTGACCTAAAAGACTCCGGTGCCGGCTATATATGCCGGACGATGCGCTACACGATTCTGGTGCTGCAGGAACGCTCGTGGAATAGATAGGGGAGAGGAAAGTGAAAATTCGATTCGCGCGAGGCCCCGCGGGAATTTTCGGTGCGCATACCAGACGCGCGCCGGCGCCGCTGTTTATCCATGAGCGTCCGTTATTATCAGTGTGACAGCCCGCTAAACATATAAATCTTGCACGGATCGTTTAATTAGCTCCACTAGTTTGCGGTGGTATTCGACTCGATGTTCGAAGTATGCAGATGATACTCGCTCTGTATTTATCGCGGGAGATTATACGGACTGTGAATTTTTATGCGGATGCAAATTCTGATGCGTTCATTTATGGAAATTCAAGTTGAATGAAAATTTCGCACTTTCGCCGGGTGTTTCGGGGGAATAGAAATATAATAGAATTTCGTTGAAGTGTATTAAAGGTTTTTATCATATTGATTATTCAGATGAGATAACGATTTTTATTATTGCGATTTCTGCGCAGAAAATTTGCAGTCTAATTATATAGGAGAATGAAAGGAGAGTCAACCTGGGAGATTGCTATTAACACGTTCACTGCCATGAGAAGTTTTTGCGTTTCGAATAATGTTAATTATTCTTTTGTAACAGAGGTAAATGGTACTGGAATAAATAGTTAATGATTTGGTATTGTAGTTTTTCAATTATACTATTATTTAGTTACTCGTGCTACTAAATATTTTGGTTCGATATTAGATTTGTTGTAATTGTTCTCGAATAATTTGAAAAATCTAATTATTGGTGACTGCCATGGCAATCAACGTGTTAAGTATCTTTATGGAGATTTGAATATATGAAGTTGTGACAATATTTGAATATTCAGAGATTAATTTTCCAAGCTACACATGATTTACATAGTTGACGTTGTTTTTTTATAACTTATTTATATTCAAGAGATTATGTACGCTTTCATAGAAGGGTTGAACAACGTTGGACGCGTCATAGTTTGAAACAAAAAGTTCCCAGAAGGTCATTTAGCTGTAAACTTCGAGTAATGAACAGAGAGAACACTCTGCTGCTATAAACCGGGTTGAACTCTCCTCAATTCCGAGAGTAGTAAACATTTTTACTGTAAGCTTCTTACTAATCGTATTAGATGATATTGCAGAAGTATGCAAATTAGAGTCAAACTATTACAAACACTGGTTTAACGAATGAAACTTTATATCAGAAGTTCCTTTTAGTTATTAGTGAACAAATGAATAGACATCAGTTTAGCTGTAGTAAATTTATAAACATGATACCACCAAACAAAATAAACATTCATACTAAACACTTCTTTTACGAAAATACAAGTCAAACTATACAAAATGTCAATAAATCCATTCATTACCACAGAAAACACGACAAACATTCGAAAAGATCCACTCAAAAGTAACAATGACCCATAAAAAAGATTGTTCACTTCCGAAAAAAGAAAAGGAAAAACAAAACATTTCTTCCAATCTGTAGACTTTATGCATTCAAACGATCGAACCTTTTCAAAAGCCAACAACATATAAAATTCAATAAAATTTCAAAGCTTCACGTCTCCAAGCCACCTAATCCATTACTACGAAAACTTCAATCCCATTTAATTCCAACTTCTCCGCGTTCGCCTCCAAGGCCAAAAATTCACACGAAAATCCCCAATTTAACCTACAACTCAAAACCCCCTCAATCCGTAGACCAGCACACGACAAACACTGTCATCGCATTGCAAAAACCACTAATCCCGAAAAACCCCCCATCAATAGCCCCAATCTCCTCCGCCGGTAGTTTAAGTACTTAGCTTCGTTCCGGATTAATTCCAGTATCCCCGTTGTAAGCTCGACCTTTCTGCATGCAGGAATTAGACTTAAGTACAAGGGGGAGGCTCAGGTGTATTTCACGGATCGATCGGCCGGTATCCGACGTAAGTTTTCGGCGTTCGAGAGCTACCTCCACGTGGAGACTTATCTGGCTGGTGGTAAGTACCCAGCTATGTAAGTACCTAACCCGGTCGGCCGACCAGGCAAAGTCGGGATTGCTAACACGGGACCCGATGTCGGGGACTAACGGATTCTCATCACGGCTAGATGGTAAAGAAAAGTCGACGATAACCGGCGGCGTCTACCCGTTCAGCCTGACGCTCCCAGAAAACCTGCCGTGCAGCTTCGAGGGCCGATATGGGCGAGTACGGTACTCGATTAGAGCATTGTTGGACGTAACGACCATTTATCGGTTTTCCACCAATATTATTCCATTCACGGTGGCCCCTATTCTTGACCTTAATCGAGATCCTCTCGCCGCTGTGAGTAGGAGTCTAACAATGAATGATATTCGCTTGCAAACTGATTTCAGTCCCGGGGAACCGAACACGTTCCTCGAGTTCAGTGCATGTATCATTTTTTTACACGTGTACAGTTGGCCTACTACGTTCATATCGAGCTCCGGTAAACTAAGGAGTCATAGGGGCAAGGGGACTCTTTCAGTTGGGATGCTAGGTATCGGTAGCTGTAGAACAACTGTTGATGTTACTGGCCGAGCGTGACGAGGAAACTAGGTGGAATAGAATGTAATGGAGTGAAATTTAATGAACATTGGCGTCGGATTTATTTTCTACGGTGACTATTTATGTTTACTGAATCCTGGGGCATGGAGGCTTGGCTACTATGTTACTTGGAAGGACCTACAGTCTTTCGCGTTAGCTCCATCAGTCTTAGGTTTAACGCTAAAATTACCAGACGGGTTGAAATGATCCATTCCTGGTATCTCCTTTCTGCAATTATTAAAAAGATAACAGATGTTTCTCTGAGGAATTATATACGTATATAAGCTAAATTATATACCAACTGCTTAATTAATAGAAGAACAGGAATCTACGTGCTGATCTCTTGCTGTTTGACTAATTAAATCATTTGTTCGTGACTTAGTCTTTCAAATAAAAACATTTCATCTCGCCGAAATGTCACAAAGGGTTAACTGCTCGATAGGCTTAGTGTTAAATGGTACTATGGCACCCTCCGTTAAAGCCGACGATGGAACACCCCTGGAGCTTTAGTAAAAATCCACACTATACCTTGCCCCTTCAATGGACGAGGGATGCCTGAGACAGGTTATCCAGGGTAAAAAATGGCTTAGTGGTAAAAGTGCACAGAGGCAAGGGGACTTTTCCACTCACAACGCTCGGGCCTCGGCACGCGCCAATAATGACCATGCGTCGAAAGCAGAGGCGGCTCGAACGTTGTGAGTGGAAGAGTCCCCTTGCCTCTGTGCACTTTTAAACCTAAGACCGATGGAGCTAACGTGAAAGGCATATAGTAGGTGGGGCGTGCAGCTGAGTCTCCTTGCCTCTGTACACTTTTAGTTTGGTGGAGCTCGGTCAGGTCGTGGTGGGTCAAAGTACTGTGCTGTTTAGGAGATGAGCCCTGAGAGGATTGGAGGTCTAATTGGTTAGCTTTCATCTTTTGTCATCTCATTTTTGATACTAATGTGCTACTTGTCAATGTGGTTACACCAAGCCGATCAAAACCATAAACAAAATCCCTAGAGACCCTTCTCGCTCATCTGCCGTTTCGGGCTTTTCTTATGAACAACATGGAGTAAGCTGCCTGTTGTCTTTGACAAGTGTTCAGAGACTATTCTAACGATTCTTTCCAGTTACCTATAAACATTCAACAGTCGAAGGTGTACATGGGACAAACCGAGCCGATCAGTGTATCCATGTCTCTTCCGGTTCACAGTTACGTTCCTGGGCAAACGATACCGATTAAGATCGCACTGACCAATCCGTCCACCGTTGCGATTAAGAAAATCAGAGTTGTTTTTAAAAAAGTAACACCTTGTGGTATTTTAGTGTAGTTGTGACTTTTGCTACTGTTGGTATTTGGACACGTGATTAAATCTAATGATTATTGTGATCGTTATATATCATAATATTCATTTAATATCAATTCGAATATCCTTGTATTTTAGATTTTGCAAATATTGTGATTCAAAAGTGTTCAAATATTTATCGATGGTAGTGAATGTTTTATTGTTTCTGGAATCCTTTTAAATATTTTGTACTTCGTTGTGTTTAGAAGTAGAGTAGTTTCTTAGTAATACTATAGTAATAGATAATATTGTGCATGGCTACGTAGTACCAGTAGAAGATACATATTTAAATTTCTCATGATTTTGTTTGTAGTTGTAAGTGTTGTATCTTTCCTTAGGTGGTGACCTATCATGCCACGGAAAAGTCTCGTAAGCATAAAGAGATCGTAGTAGAAATAGAACAGCCTGTTAATAAAGAATCCGAAACGTACGACGTCTTGTTCGACGTTCCTGCAGTACCACCCACGGGGATGATCCACTGCACCATCATCGACGTTGTATACACGTTGAAAGTGAGACTATCTCAAATTTCATAGCGCACCGTACCATAACAAAAGCACATATTACTAGAATGCAATAGATAATATCTTTTTAAACAACTTTTCTGCCAGAATATTTATTTTCATTTGTAAAACAATTTATTCTGTTAAATTCACTTGTATTATTTCAGTTATTTGTCAAGAAAGAAGTTTAAGTGCACCAAATGGTTCGAAGATTTAATATTTTCGAAGATAAAAGCAATTTTCTGTCCCAAAATTCTTATTTCTCTCGATGAATATTATTTATTTACTAAGGTTATACGATTAAAATTATATTTCTCCTACTTATAGTAGTCTCCTTTTAAATATTCGCAAAAATATGTTTCTCGATATCAAAGGATTAAGTCACTATTTCGAACATTACTTTTCCAACATGAAATATCAACCGTAATTTACACGTGAATTGTTACATCGCGACAAATACAGATATAAACAGCATCTGCCGTTGACGGTAAAAAAGGAATTTTTAAAAGCTTCCGCCTCCGAAAATATTGACTTTTCAACCTGACAATAATTATTTTGTAGTCGGTTTGGTAAATACGCGCTCGAAGAGTGCAATTCATTTTTGAAACACGCCCGGTGTCTACAAAACTACACGAAATGTTCTTCCTATTGAAAGGTCGAAGCCTGCGTAGACGTGAGCGAGTGGTACTACAGATTGTTTCAGAAGAACTTGAAACTGCGAACGAATATAGTGGTCGGCACGGTACCACTCGAAAATTACGAGACCCCGCAAAAAATGGAGGACGTGACGGAAGCTTTTCCAGCTCGTCCACCGTGCACAACGACCACCGAAGAACGCGGCAACAACGCGTCACCATTGAAAAACATCGAGAAAGAGGAGATTACGAAGTCGAATTTGTCTCGTACGTACACGCGTCGCTGTGCGCACGATTGTTACATGTTAATTCCGAGTATTTACGGCGAGCACGAGTCGACAGTCCCTATTATTCTCCTGTTGGAGAAGTTAAATGTGTCTCCAGGCAGTCGTTCGGGACCTCTGCCTGTTGAAATTCAAAGTTTTCATATAATTCTAACAAGATTGCAATGTAACATATGAAATATTTCTAATGGCTCGTGAATCGAGGAATTTTATCATCGCAGTGCCGCACGGTTAAAAAATTTACATTTTCATGTGGACGTTATATATCATCAGATTTATTTGAACTTACTATGTTAAACATTTTATTCCTTCCATTGGAAACAGATGGAAATGTTTTTGATATAAGGCCGGCGAAAAACACTATATCGCTAATGGTGGGGAATTTTTTTAAAAGTGTTCGTTGTTGATCAAGTAAATAATGGAATCAAATTCGAAATAACGAGTAACATTTAGATGCATTGTTTGTTGTTTGTTAAATACACTGAAAAATACTGATATTTTTTAATAGTCTTTTATATGGAATTTATATTTGCTATTCGTTACTGCAATAATAATATTTTACCCATCTCCGGTGTAAAATAACAATATCTCCGAACGAGAATTTGATAACAGAATTATTGACATAGAAATTTAAATTTATAATTTCTACATTAAAAAGTCAAGTACCATTTTACCTCATGACAGCTGCGATCTAAGACAACAATATACAAATAAAATATCAAATGAAATGAGTTCAATTAAGATCCACGAAAACTTTCACTTCAGTTAATCCTATATTTAAAGTGTTACTAAAATATTAACGAAGTTTCGTTGGTTCAATAACGAAGGGCGCAAAATTCGATAAAACTGAACTGGCTAAGGCAAAAAGTAATTACTGTCTGCAATTCTAAACGTACATATTATTATTAAACACACGGAGCACCATTCGGTAGAAATAACCCCGTGAAGTTCAGGTCCAGCAAATGCTTCCGTTTAAGGGTTACTCGATTCCGCGCGGATGAAAATAAACATTGTATTTCTTTCAGCAGTGCCACTCTACGAGAAAAGTCAGATATATCGATCCTCGAAACCAGACAGAGACGATCCCACGGGGGATGAAGGCGACAGTGACGGAGAGGTCAAGCCATATTCGCCTATGTATCGTGTGTACAACTTCAAATCCTCCCGGAAGAAGGGGAAATAATTACAATACGAGCAAGCGGAAAGGAAAATTTAACTCTCGCGCTACCGAAGGGGATGCTTTTTACTCACCATGACATTTCTTAACTACAATTAAATTTAATTACACTCTGTTTTTAATTGATCATTAATCATTGATAATTTAAATAATAATAAATGTAATAAGTTACATATTATTATTCTAATTATTATTGCATTCATTAATTAGACTTCATTATTATTATTCTTCATTCTCTTAAGGGCGAATGTCATCACATTTGTAACATCAAACTTCGATATCTCAAACTGAAAGTTCCAACCAAGTAATTTAATTATTTAAATAGCAAAACACAAATCTACAATTTTCTTCTTTTCTATTATTTATAGTGTTTCACGTATAATCTAGGTTTTTATAAAAAAGAATGTTAATACTCTAAAAAATTCTCATGCGCAAGGGGTTAATGTTTTAAATAATATTAACATTCTTCAGGATAGACATCCCTTGTTTTAGGAATAATTTAAATGTTTCTCAGTGGACTCGCGTACAGTTCACAAAATAGTAGCGCGAGGGTTAAAAAGAAGAATCTCGTTTAACTATTCGTTGAAACTAGATGTTCGTTAGCGATATCTCTTAACGGATCCGCGGAAGATGTTGAAATTGCACGAAGGAGGTTGAAAACGGAACAACCGGTTCCAGAGATTTTTATATTTTCACGTGTGCCGGTTCGGCGCATGAATTTACGTCCAATTTCGCGTTCGTATCGATTAACGAGTTGCCTTCAATTCCGCCTTTGTTTCTTATTTTCGCCGCGCGGCGAAGTAAAAAGGATCATTAAAACGAAAGAAGCGCGCCGTGAGCGAGATATTAAAATCCGTTGGGACCAACCCGCGCGGCTAATTAAATTCCGTAATTACGCGAGCAACTTGCCGGGGAAGTTATTCTATAATAATTGTTCGGACTGCGAAATCTCCAATACCATCGGGACAAAGTTTGCAAAGCGCGTAACAACGTGTACTGCTTTAATGTCCGATACGAATGTTCCCAACGACTTCGGCCAGCGTTACGATCCGCCTTACTCATTAAGTACCCGGCGAGGAAAAAAAAAAATTGTTAACTAAGTTACAAATTCTGCGCGACGAGATAACCGAGCGATTTCTCTTCGTTAGTGTCTTATTATTAAATTCTACTACTCAATTCCACTCCACTCGTTTACTGTGTACCGCGTAAACAATGGAAAAAGTGTTTGTCTTCATAAATAACAGCGATAAAAGCTGCGAATGTTGGCATATTTATTTTGTATACGAATGTGCAACGTAGAATAAAATAAGAATCATAGGAGAGTTCGACAGATATGTATTTTAAGCGAAATTATGCGATAGAGGAAATAAATGTATGTTTCATTTTGCTTCGGACGGCTATGGAAATGTGAATTTGTATTAATAACCTGACTGTCGTAAGATAAATTACGTTACTAATGCAACAGGTTGTAATTCGATAATTTCGTGTATGTAATAGTGGAATTTGATGTGAGGAATGGAATATTTCTGTTCTATGTCTGTGACTGGATTATTATATCCTTTGACTACGTGGTCAACTTGATATACTCAGTGTCTACTAAGTAAGCCTTCTGAATGAATAAATGGGTAACCTTAAATTAAGTGATGTTAAAATTGCATTACTTTATTTTATGTGATTCATTTTGTCGAGTAAAAGTTTCTTTTATATTCAAGATTCTTTTGAGATTCCCTACATTTTAATCCTAGTTCTTTTACTCTAAAATTTCGTAAATCATAAAAATAACTAAGTACAAAAGAAATTATAAAATAATTCTTTATATATAAGTAAATGCACTATTACTTTTACAAATTGTCATAGATTGAAAACCAACAAAATAGAGTATCACCTCTTAAAAGTAACTTACATCATCAAATATCAAAAACTTTACGTTTATAATCGCTTTTACAATGAATTTAGTTTAACACTAGGTTTACAGACATTTATTGCATAGTTTATTCTGTTGATCTTAGAAAACTATATTCATTCATTTAGATTTTAGAAATCAGAAGCTTAATAATATACAATTAAAATACAAAGTTGTGTTATTACATCAATCAAAATTGATGTAAACATTCTATAGCAAGAGTTAACACTAAGTTCACGAATATTTATGGAATTGTATTGTATCATGGTAATTGATATTCAGTCACTTATCTTAGAATTAAAAAATTAAAAAGTAGACAATTAGAATACACATTCACTTACATTACAAACATCGCAAACATGTACCAAATTAAATAATAATAACACAATAATAAAAATAACGTTCATAAAATTCAATACGCGTCAAATCGACGCGTTCCGTAAACCTAGCGTTAACAATGTAACCTGCCTTTGTGAAAAAGGAACTGGAAGAAAAATTGCCAATATCGAAAAGAAACCAAGAATGGCGTATATGTTACAACGATCATTAAAGCACGCCGGCTAGTCGTTTCGTAATGTTCACGACACGTATGTACGAGCGGAGCCATCTCGTTTGCGTCGTACGCTTGAATTAATGACGTCGTTAATACGCGATTCAACAATAATGCGCATCGATCGTACTGCAAAACGCAATTACAGAGAGTGGTGGCCGAGCCAGGTGGCAAGTAATCGGCGCGCGAGCCCCGATCGGCGAAGAACGCAAAGGAAAGATTACATCTGGGCATTGCTCGCGGCGCAGCGCTGTGTTGTGGCGTTGCGCGATCGAAACAGAAGCGGGATGGAATAAATAGAAATTCTGGGATCGATATCGTCCACTGTAAATTGCAGAGCCGTGTTTTCTGAAGATTGAATGTTCCGCGAGGAGATCGAAATTCGTGGTCGACGGTTTCGAATTAAAATCAGGGAAACGTACGCGCATGGATTCGACTCTGTACGCGGAATAGTCTATCGTAATTTATATTCAACTACTGTGTGCTGCTTTGGGTCGGTTTAATGTGATTAAGAATTTACAACTGATCTGGATATCGTAGGAACTGGTAAATAATAAATAAATTGCAAACGAGGGAGTAGATTAATTTATCTAACCTAGTAGAAGTGATTGGGTCATCTGGTAAATAGTGCAGTTTTTTATATTTATTTTATTTTCAAAGATAAAGATAAATAAAACTGCTTTCAATCTAAAATATATTAATCTGTATTATCTATAAATTGTATATCTATAGATTGTAATTTAAAATTCGTTTATCCTTATTTTTAGAAATAAAGGAAATAAAAAGGCATTTATGAGATGATCCAATACTTGTTTTAAAGACAAAGAAAATTACTTTTTTATGATAGAATGTTGAGCATTTTTCTCTTAATTGAGAGATATTATAATACATTTATTTATTTTAGTATTCAGTAATTACTTTCAGAGACTTTTCGATTAATAGTTACTTCGATCAATTCTTATGAGAAAAAGCTAAGCATGCTATCAAATGCTTTCGTGACAAAGTATCCGATTTCATCCGATTTATAAAGCAACAAAATTTCAAGCACCAAATAATTTCTTCATAAAACAACCAAACGAATACCTTATTATATCCGACAGTCTACTCTATTACCACTAGAACTACTTCTCAAAATAACAGCTCTCACGTTTCTTATTTCGCAATTATCGATACCCTCGGAATATTAAAAAACCGAAATAATCCTAAAGATAAACACTGTCATTTGAATACTATAATAAATACACGGAGGAGCCGAAAAGAAATCTATTGCCACAATTTTAATAAGAATTTTATATTAATCGTACTAAAAGCTCGTACTTAGTTCTATTATAAAATTCTGAAACCCAGATACGCGCGAAGTAATTAAAATCGGTGTAAACATTTATCGATGCCTATATCAGGAGCAGGTTCCGACGTCATCCAAATTCATTGCACGAAACTCAATATCACGCGGTGGCTTCACGCTACGCCAGATCCGACAGGGGGGTGTGTAACGCCATCAGCTTCTTGATTTTGAGGTCGGTGGCAGGTGATGACGGTGCTGCTGGGACTAGCTTTAACTTTGAGGGCTTTCGATATCGCAATGGCGGGGTCTTTGATTACGGACACCGTCTAGCAAATGTTTCCCTCTGTCTCTGTTCTCCTTCGCCGCGTCTTCCTCTCCGCCACGACGTGTATATCTACTTTGAAAGACCACATCATAGGTGGCTAGGTTTCGGGGGTTCGGCTTAACCACGATCCTGCAGCACGAGGTTATCCTAATTTCGTAGTGATTAAACGTTGCCGGCTTGTACCGAGGCCCGGGGACGCGAGTTTCTCGAAAATTGAAGCTTCTTGCAAACTGACTACTCTTCCCTTCAAATTTTCGGTAATTTACATCGCGGTCGCTGCGAATAGCATACATTAACATCGCAGAGCAATTTCTTGTACCAGACTTCTAGATATAGACTTCATTCTCTATTGAATTCCCGTGAAACTCTACCACTCGCGCTACGAAATTTTCATGAATACGGATTCTATACGATTCAATAAACTCTTTGAATGTGTTCCTCGAAGTTTGACGAACTTCGGATTCTGGACGACTATCTGTTACAGTTTCATTCTAATATAACAACGTACGATCGAGCAAGGTATTCAATAGTAATAGACTGTCAACTTTGATTGCTAATTCACAGAATTGAAGTATGGAATGTACAGAATATGGAGAATGTGGAAAACGTGGAAAACTTAAAATGAAAAATATAGAAAATATGGAATACATCAAGTGCAAAACATGGAAAACGTAAAATGGAAAATGTAAGAAACGTGGAAACCATAAAATGGGAAATATGAAAATCATATGAAACGGAAAGTTTTCCCAATTACAAACTCATTATCCAACACCACCTATCAATCTCGCTAAAACAATTGAAAATCAATAAAATTTCCAATTATCATGCGCCCCTTTGAAATCGCGAAACCTTTATTTGATCCACATTTCCGCAAAGCAAACAGCGTATAACTGATTCAAGGCACCAAAATCGAGTAAACTCGCCGCGACCGGTATCTATAGCTGCTTTCCCGGAAACAATAAAATAAAGTATAGAATCAACGCCCGTAAAGCTAATGTCAAACAAAGTAGAACCGACTGTAAAGAGGAAAATGATACGTTACACAGGCCAGGAATCACAATTACAGTTCCGTCCGCATGAAGAGACGAAAGCCGGTCGCACGGCAGGGAATCGATCTCCGGCGAGGTCAGAGCTCGGCCAGATATACCCTTACGTTGAAGTCACGGCGTCAGAGCGTGCACCTAATTAAAAGTTCGTACTACTTCTCTGGAACCCGGTGGCACGGTGTTACCGCTATCGGCTGTCGCGTAAGGACCGAGTATCCGCGAAGAACACTCGGCCAAGAGCGTCGCACTCGGAATTCACCACGGCTCGAAAAATTCTTCCGGGAAGCTGGAACTTCTAGCCAGCCGGTCGTTACCCCCCGATCGTATTCTTTAACACTAAACGTACCGCGACCGGTCAAATGACCGATTTTAAAATTTGATTAAAAATTCTGCATTCTCTTTCGTCCATTGAACTTTATATCAGTTCTTATATTGTACGATTAATACATTTTGCAGTACCTGTCGTTTTTTTTCTGTTTTCAATAAGAAAATTTATTGTTTAATCTTTTACACTTCAGAAGTTTTTCATTGGAAATACTCAACATTTTCGAGTGAGATACCCACGACATTCTTTGAAACACAGAAATTGAGGAAAAAAACTATTTTCGTTCAATATTTCACATGTTGATGCATTATACAAGGTTTAATGTTAAATATCAAACTTTATAATTTTGCTGTGTCAAATCAATTGACGATTGAGACTACGGAGTACAAAGGGTTAACTTGTTTACTTTAAGATGACGTGTATATTCATTAAACGCAGTTAATTGGTTGACACTAGAACTACCAGTCTAAATGACTAGTTTTTATTCTTTTGGTTCGAAGTTATTGATATTTTCAAAGCATTGAATATTCAAAATGATTTTGAAAATAGTTTCACTTAAATACCACAACGAATGTCTGAAGAAACCGAAAATAATCTATTGTTACAATTTTTATAGGGATTTCGTATCAATCATATTACATGCTCGGTAGTTCTAGTATTAATTATATTTCGTCCACCGGCGAGTGAAATTTTATTGGCCAGAAAGGTTCAAGTTATCAATTTTTATGTATACCTGGCTGAAAGTGTAAAGTTCAAAATTGATCGAAAACTACGTTTCTTTCGGGGATATAATGTATAATCTATAGACGCTAGGTTCGGATAGACGTTTTATCCCACGTTTTATGACTTATTTCGTGAGTGGAGTGAAAGATACTTTACTTAATCATTTCTTATCTAGACGTGTTACAGTGTATGTTCGCTGTAGATTGTAGAATTTTATGCAGGTATTTATGACATATATTAATCTTTAAGGAATTTATTATTAATAGATTGATGAAACTATTTGTGGAAGTTAAAATTTATTTAATACGAGTATCTCTAAACTTTTATGTAAAAATGTATATTTGCATATGTTTCCTGGGAAAAATTTGAAATAATGTTACATACTGGAAGTGGTAAATGTTCATAAGCATAAAACAATATTTCTCTTTAGCTGATGTAAACAGTAATATTCACACTTGTCACATAAATTAATTAAAAATCCCTTTCACCTATAACGATACAACCAATGA